CTTCCGATGCCGAGCCCAATCGGCGATGCTCGTGCAACCTTCACCGTCGGAACGAGAATCCGAGGGACCGCCCATGATCTCGATCCGAAGCAAGCGGTCGGAGAAGTTGCTGTCATTGAAAGCGAATCCAAAATCGCCGTCGGAGGCCGCACCATGACGAGAGAAATCAGAATCCATCTCGGTCTTGGGGTCAAACAGATCCGTATTGTTGGAACCTCTCATCTTTATCAACAAAAAAGATGATCAACCCAAACCGCCTTCGTCTAGGCTCCGACAAACGCGCAGAGGAAGAAAATGAAGAAGAATAGGCCAAAATCCAAAAAAGAGGAACGAACAAACCCTAGAAAAAGGAACTGAGGCGAAGAAGGAGAGGAGATTATGGTTTTTGGTCACAGGTCTGTTGTGACAATAAACAACTAGAAATTATATTGCGAACGTTATCTTTCGAACCGGTCCGGTCCGATTTTCTCTCACACGTCTCTGTATAGATCAGTACATATATCCGGCCCTACTAAATTTCGAATTTCATAACACATATATGATATATATATATAGATAGATAGCATTTGAATCAATAAATAAAAACATTTCAAGCTAATTTTAGAACATGAAAATCCGGTAGGATTTAACTCTTAGATAGAAAGATGAACTGGTTTTGCGGTTTCACTTGACGAATTTGACAACAACTTGCAGTTCCTGTTTGTTTATATCGAACCCTCTAATTGGTTTGACGGATCATGGTTTGGTACAATGACAACATCGACCACTAACGGCAATGAGTTTTATTAGCTTATATACATATATATATTTGATGTCGCCAGCTTGATCCACCAACGAGATTAGTTTATTAGTAACAAACACATTAATTAACATTAACGATTTTTAATTTTTTTTTAAAAAAATGTTATGGTCAACATTTTTTTTGGCCATAGGTTTGCCATCATATAACATAGGGATACCGTTTCCGAGCAATTCATCCAAAATTTCCACTTGATAAAATTTTTAGAAAATCAAAATTTTCAGAATCGAATCAAATACAAAAAATTGTTAAAAAAAATTTTAATAAAACCAAACCGAAATTGAACAAAATATAAAATCATAACCAATTTTTCCATATTTTTATAAAATATAAAACATATGCATATCAATCAATTACTAATAGCAGATTGGAATATATGATATTAAATTCAATTTCAATCCCAATTACACAAATTAAATATCGAAGGATTGTCACAATAGTTTGGACTTAACGACAACTTTGTTCAACTAACATACAACAAACTAAATTCCAATGATATACATACAACCATACAACCACACGTACAAAGTCCGAGGAAAATACACAAAGCACGTGGGACAATTTATCTCTACCGAACCGCACGCCAATGATCTTCTAGTCTTTAGAACCAAACATGTCGCCGTAGTCCTTTGACCGTTCCTCGAGCTGGTTTCAGTCACAGCAAAATGTCTGGTCAAATCATAAATATAATACCCACAAAAAAAACACAAATACGTTAACGGAATCAATATTCGAACCCAAAACATACGCATGCAGGTCGTAAGCCACAAAAAAAAACATAGAAACGGTCCAAACACAGGTTGATATTTCATTTAATTATCAGATCTATGATGTCATTTCAAGTTTACAGCCAACACGATGGTATAATATGAAACCAGCTGATATTTCTTAATGGATATTCCAATAACTCTATCCATCTGCATGCACATACACACAACTTCAAATGCTCAAGCACATTCTTGCATGAGAGAATGGAGAAAAAAGAAAAGAAAAAGAGGAGCTCCCTTCAATCCAAACGAAGAGAAGAGAAGGAAAAAGGAGAAGAATCTAAGAGGCCATGCAAACCCTCAAGAGTGCGCATCATACGAGCTCTTAACCTGCGCACTCCTTGAGAGGAATCCATGAACTCTCAGATCCTTTTTCTACTCTGAATTTTTTTTAAATCCTTTCTTTTTTTTCCTCCTCGTTTTGGAAGAAGAGAGCTCCTCAGATCTAAACCCGTCATAAGTTCTTTCTTCTCTACTCTACCAATTAAAAAAAAAAGCTTATCGAGAAGAAGAGAATGGAGGAGGGGGGTGAAGAATGGGGTTTGCTGAACTTAAAGTGGTTTAAATAGAGAAAGAGGGAAACCCTAATTCGAGGAACATTAATAATGGAAAAGATGCAGAGGGAGAGAGGCAATAAAATATTCACTGGAATTAGAAACGGTGAAGAAAATCTGGTCTGATAGATTCTGTCTTGATGGCAGAGACAGAGCGCTCTGTGACTTTATTCGAGTGGGGAAAAGAGGAAATCCAGCGAGGATTGATGGGTCATCGCGTTTCTCGTTATTCATTTCATTTATTATATATTCCAGTACCATCCTATTTAAATTTCTAATCTTTTATATATATATATATATATTTAACGTTATTAGCTTTTATTTTCCTTGGAAGAAGAGAAAGTTCCCAAGTTGAGATCTCATGCCAGGTTCAAGAATCCGACCCTCGTTAAGGATACGAGATTGTGTTTAGGAAAATCTGGGTGTTTGGACAGAGGTTTCTACCGGTTCGGTCCGCGTCTGACACGAACCGGTTCGGTCATCCGCCATGTTTCTCGGTCTAACAGGATTTCCTCCCGGTTTCCCAAGTTGCATGGGAACTGCTTCACGAATCCGACCGAACTGACCATCATCCATGCATAGAGGTATACGTTTTCCTACTTATACACATAAACATGCAATTGTAAACAGTCTCTAAGGTGTCTGCTTGAACAGCTCTCAAATGGGTCAAGATGAAACCAGAGGGGGTTCGGAGTTAAAGAATTATGGAGCCGTTGTTTCAAGAACGCGAACGCCGGCTCTCGAGCCGTGCTTCCATCAGTTTTGCCTCCAGACTGTCCTCTTTCACGTTTCGAATCTGCTTCGAACAAGTTCCAGACTTGTCCAGATCCTGACAGCCTAAATGTTCGGCTTCCCTTGCAGTACTCTCTGGATGAATCTTGTCGCCTTCGGACGACCCAGATTGATTCCTGATCATAAGGCCAAGATCCTGATCCAATACCAGCACGTGATTCTCGCCGACCCTTTTGCTTTTCCGGCCATATAGATCTCGTAAAAGATGCAACTGGTTATCTCTTCTTATTTCTGTTTCTGAAAGCTGGGCATTGCTCGTTGCCATATGATAGTCGGAATTCTCGTGGGGATTCTGAAAGTTGGAAACTTTTTCGAGTTTACTCGAGTGAACCCCTTGCTTCACAGTATCTGAAGAATCAGCTGAGCTTTCTCTTAATGCGCTGTCTTTCCCT